CCTCTGCGGGTATTTTGCCAGCCAGATGATTGGAGGTCTTGTGCAACAATGTCTAGAGACTGGTTGCGAGTTCCAATCGAGCAAAGCATTTCTCCAGGATCTCACTGGGCAAGTGGACCAAGGTTCGAAATCATGCTGAGCTCGCTCCTCGCGGTCCTTAATTCAACAGGGACTCGCTTTGTGACTGGTCCCACTTTCAATCACTCCCTCTGTCCCCCGATTCCCTCATGCTATCCCTCCTCGTATCCGTCCTCCTTTTGGGCAATATGTATGTCCGTATCCACTGCGTATTGGACTTTCTGGGAAGGGGCGCTGAACGTTCCCCGAGGCGTAGTAGATATAGATCACAAGCTAGCCTCTAGAGGCCAGATGCTTATCCATATCCTCTGCACCTCTGTTGTCTGGGGAAGCCACCCGAACATCCAAGACGCAGTGGATAACTCTGGGTAGCGATTATCGCCCATCTTCCTCCGGCGAAAGTATATTACTGCCGCCCCTGGAAGTGATATCCCTCCCCCCCTTTCAGTGAAACTGAAAGTTTTGCAGAAGCTTCACAGATGGAGGGCGGGTCCTTTTTCAGGTTGTTGTTATCGCCTTAGCGTCGTGTACCGTCGTAAAACTCGCAGCCGTTTCACGGGTGGAGGGCGGGTTCTTTTCAGAATGTGGTTCTCGCCTGAGCGCCACGCGCATTTGTTTGCAACATGTTGAAAGGGTTTCGCGATAGAGGGTGGGCCATTTTCAGAATGTGGCTCTCGCTATAGCGCCGCGCACATTCCCTTGGACAGCTTGCAACAGTTTCACGGATGGAGGGCGGGTTCTTTTTCAAAATGTGGTTTTCGTTTCGGCGCCGCGCACATTCGTCTTCTATAAGCTTGCCAGAGTTTCACGGATGGAGGGCGGGTCCTTTTCAGAATGCGGGCGTTGCCTTAGCGTCGCGCACATTCGTTCAAGGTTTTTGGAACAGTTTCTCGCATGGAGGGTTGCTCCTTTTCAGTATGTGGTTCTCGCCTCAGCGCCGCGCACATTCGTCTTAGAAGCTTGCGAGAGTTTCACGGGTGGATCGTTGGCCCTTCTCAGAAGGTGCTTATCGCTCCAGCGTCGCGCGCATTCGTCTTCAAATTTGGCCAGAGTTTCACAGGTGGAGGGCCAGTCCTTTGCAACCTCTGGTTCCCGCCCTAGCGCTGCTGACATTGGTTTGACATCTTTGCAAGAGCTCCGCGGATGGAGGGCGAACCCTTTTTCGCAACGTGGTTCTCGCCCTAGCGCCGCGTACATGTGCTGTAAACGTTGGCAGGGGTGTCACTGATGGAGAGCGGGCCTATTTCATAATTATGAGAGCCTCAGCGCGAAGCATTGTAGTGCGACGCCTTGCGCTGTTCTTCTTGTTCGTGCGCGCATGCGCGCGCTCGTGCGTGCGCAGTGCAAGAACCAGTCAAGCATGGCCGTCTTAATCTCGACGAGTGAGTGGTGGCCAGAGGTTTGTCGCTCGTCTTCTGAAAGCCTCAACGTGGAATAATGTTTTGGTACCCCATGCGCTTTCCGTATTGCTTGTGCTCGCACGTGCTCTGGCGGGCGCAAGAAACAAACCAACAACGAGTGGCCATGCTTGGTTCTAAGAACGGACTGATTGGTGAACCAGTTGTTTCACCCGTATTCTGAGGGCCTCCACGAGGAATCGTGTAGTGTGACATTTCGCATGCTCCTAAGTTTCCGCGCGCGCGTGCGCGCGCGTATGCGCGCGATCGCTCGCTCTCGCGTGTGGAAAACAAACACCAATGACGAATTCCCATAGGAACTTCGAACACCGAATGGTGACACCAAGTTGCTGCACTCGTATTCTGAGGGCCTCTTCGTGTACTATATATGTGTATGTATGTACATATACGTAGATCGTGGCGCTGCGCATGTACCTCGTTACCCGCGCGCGCGCTCGCTCGCTCTCGCGTGCGCACTACACCAACAAACAGCGAATCACCATTTTGATTTGAAAAGCCGAATGGTGATCGCAACATGTTGCACTTCGATTCTGAGGGCCTCCGCGTGGAAACATCATGGTGCCCCCCCGAACGACTCCTGAGCATTCCTGCAGGTATCCTGCCGACTCCTGGGCGATGTGTGCGGATTCCTGAAGGGTCCCAGCGATTTCCTCAAGGCTTCCAGTGGGCCCTTTTAGATTCTGGAGGATTTCTGAAGTTTCTGGGGGAATCCAGCATGCTCCTTGAAGGATTGCTTAACAGGATTCCTGCGGATTCCTGTAAGTTGCTAGAGGATCCCTCGTCAATTGCGCTGCGTCCGCGCTCCCAGGACGCAACCCGTCTAAATTGCACGGCGCCCGCGCTCCCAGGGCCGCGATCTGTGGCAAATCGCGGTGCTTGCGCACTCATAGGGCCACTGGCCACGACCCCTCGCAAATTACGTCGCGCCCGCGCCCCCATGGCCAGGACCACTAGTACATTACGCGGCGTCCGCGTTCCCAGGGCCAGGCTCCCTCGTAACTTACACTGTGCCAGCGGCCCTTAACGATCCGTCGGATTTTTCGGCTTCCACAGGATTCCACAGGATTCCCACAAATTCCTGCGGATTCCTGTGGGGTCCCTTATCGGCGGCGAGCGAGGGGGGGGCATGAGAAGGATACTGCCCTCTCAGAAGGCGGCGGGACTTCTCAGAAGCCCCCGCGCCATCTGAGAAGTTATGTCTGCTTTCGGGGAAGGCTTGGAACACTTCTTAGAAGACTGGGGGACTTCCGAACCTTCTGAGAAGGCCTTCTCCTTCTCACTTCTCCCCCTCGCTCACCGCTGACCCTAAGGACTCCTGGGTATGTCTGCACGGTTTCCTGAGGGGTCTTCACGATTTCCTGAAGGCTTCTTGTGGGCCCTTCCAGATTCTGGGGGATTTTCTGGAGGAGTCAGTCCAACATGAGTCCTGAAGGATTATTGGAAAGGATTCCTGCGGCTTTGTTCAGGTTGCTGAAGGCTCCCTCGTCAATTGCGCTGCGTTCGCGCTCCCAGGACACGATCCTTGCAAATTGTACGGCGCCCGCGCTCCCAGGGCCACGATCTGTGGCAAATCGCGGTGCTTGCGTACTGCAAGGGGCAAGGGCTACGATCCCCCCCCTGGGAATTAATTGTTCGGCATCACGAAGTGTGGTATTTCGGCGGTGGTATCCCCCCTTCTAGAGTCAATTAAGGTCTTTGGTGCTAGCGATGACACCGGGGGCTTCGATAAATGGTTCCCAGGATTACGGATACAACTCTTACCCGCGCTCCGCGGCCTCCCCCACATCCTCTCCCCATTCCCTGCACGCACGAGTCTGCGGCCAGAGTTTCGGCCACGCTCGCAGGACAACCCTGCTACGGGTGCGTGGTGTTCACGTTCGGTATCTCCTCCCATCTTCAGCCACGCGACGAGGGGGTATAGGGGAGGGGGGAAGGCTTCTTAGAAATACGCCTGCTTCATTGAAGGCGCGGGCTTTAACTGTATATTTCCGGATAGCTCCTTGTGGGAGCTAAGATGGTTGTCAGCTAAGACGCCGACAGCACAAAGTAGGCCAGCTTCCTCTCCACGCCTGCCTGTCAGGCATCCCCGCAGCAACTTGCTTGAAACTGCAGCGTGTTCCAGAAGCGTTCTCCGACTCCTTCCCAATGCGTGTGGGGGAAGCTCTAGCACGTGTGCGGGAAGCCTTTGCGAAACTCCTTCGAAGCGCCTGCCAGGCTCGTGCGCAGCTATGAGTCCGAGCTTGCATGTTCGCCGGGCATCCTGTCAGGCTTCCTTGCCAGCGTCTTCCAGAAACTGTCGGGCTGCTTGGATTACTTGCTGAAGTGCTGATTCCTTGAAGTATTCTGGGATAGATCCTTGGAGTGCTAAGAAGGTTTCAGATTAGAAGCGGGGTGGCAAGGGCAGCCCCGGAGATCGTTGCGGCGTCGGTCCAGGATTATTGCTGGAGCTTGTTCGAGGCCTTTTCTTCTGACCGCTATCCAGGCTTTGGACGCCACAAGAGTCGGCCAGCGCCTTCGAAGGGGCAGCCTCCTTCTAAGGAGCCCCCCCCCTGCCCCCCGCCCCCTGGCGCGCGCCGCCAGAACCTCCCCGCTCGAGAAGACGAGCTTGTTTGCACCCTTCTCCTCCGGCCCCTCCTCCTCTTCCTTCCGCCCTCTGCGTCCTCCTCCTCCTCCTTTTCCTCCTGCTCCTCCTGCCCCTCCAGCCTGGCCCGAGTGATGAAGAGGTGCGACTTTTGACGGCCAGGCCAGCACTCGGGACCCGCTCGTGGCACCATATCAACAACAATATAACGCTACCGCCAACAACAAGGATCCTGCCCTCCTCCTGCCCCTCCTCCTCCTGCCTGTCCTCCTGCCCCTCCTCCTCCCCCCCCTCCTCCTCCTCATCCTCTTCCTCCTCCTCCTCCTCCTCTCTTCCTCCTCCTCTCCTCCTCCTCCTC